AATTTTTGATTTCTTCATAACATGGTATTTGTGAAGTCCGAAATAACACATTCTGAGGAATTCAATATATTTGAATGAACAACAAGAATTTTAACGTATACTTAATCTTTCATATTTTGCTTTTAATAGAATTTAGTCTCAACAAAGCTTATTTAATTAAAAAGGAAAAGAATTTTCTTCCTTTTATCGATGTAAATTGAATTTCTTGGAAAGTACATTTCTCATATAATCAGCAATTAATTACGAAGAAACTTTTTAACCATATTTAGGTAAAAATTAGATTTGTAAAGGTAATTTATGTATAATTAATAGAGGGAGAGAGTTTTGATGGAGCTAATTATTGTGCTATAATGAATTTTTGGTTTGGTGGAAAGAATATTTATTCAGAGTTAAGTGAACGTTTAACGTGAAAAATTGCGTAATTGTAGTTCAAACAATCAATCGAATTTCTAAGAAAAAGTATTTCGAGGATTTTCTCAAAAATTATGAATTCCTTTTGCAACGCGTGCTTTATTAAAGAAAAATGATTATATTTTAATACACAATTTATTTAGCTAAAAATGCATGATGTGTAGAGAAATAATAAGAGGAGATCTAATTTTATTTTACAACCGTTGTTGTGCTAACGGCCGACCCAATTTTTTGACTTCGCGGCTACTAATGTTCAACTCCATAGCTTTGTAATTTTGAACTCAATCCAGAAAATAAGGGAACTCATAGATTAAGGATTCTGAGAAATTTGCTTTCGCGGAGGACTTTTTGATTGAACTAACCTACATTTGCGTTACATGGAGTGGAAAACCACGAAAACCTGATGACACGGGGACTTTAATTCATGATCCGTCCACCACTGAGGATATTTTTTGCCAGCACTGTGGTTGGTTTAAGCCGGGTGCGGAATTCGTATCGACCAGGCATCACTGGGATTCGAACCCGGTTCACCTCATTGGGAGGTGAGCATTAAATCTCCTGAGCCACCATGGCTCAATAAGGGGAGATTTCTCATTGGGAGCAGCGGTCGGTACAAGCAACTCTTCACGTGATATTCTAGCTTTTTATGAGTAAATACACCGATTCGCCTCGCAATATGGTTACCAGGTTTAAATCCCAGCGGTGGCTTTGTAATATGAATTCTGCTCCCGGCTAGCAAGGACCACAGTGATGGAGTTAAACATCCTACGTGATCATGGGTTAGAATATCCTTGCCATTGGGGAGTGGTCCGTGGTATTCCTCTCCATGTAACTCAAATACGGATTAGTTCCATCAAGAAGTTTTCCAAGGCTAGTTTGCCTCATTGCTTGATCGTTGAGTACCCTTGTCTTTTGGGTTAGGTTCAAATTTACAAGACTTAGAGACGAGTTTGCTTAATGACGAGTAAAATATCAAATAAAATACATTTGACTAAAGCTGAGATGGCTGATGGGGTACGAAGCTCGCATTTCAAAAGATGACTCAAATTTGATCTTGGTGATGACCGGCTCAGAAATTTTGTGATTTTCTTTTACATATGACGAAATTGTGGATTAGTTTCAGTCGGCAATCATGAAGGCCTTACTCCGAAATGCTTGTTCCAGGAGTTCTCTTGTTTTCTGGGTTGGTCTCGAAATGATAATGACGTATAGAGCATTTATAGCTCCAATTTAAATAAGAATCAACTTCTCAAAAACGGTGATAAAATAAAATTAGATAAATGTGATATCCGTTAGTGAACTAAAAGTAATCTTCGTTTATTTGAACATACCATCGTAAATATTTGTCGTTTTATTCCTAAGAATTGTAATTGTTTCATTTTTATCACATGGTAAAACAATCAAAATGCGTTGCGCTTTGACTAACTTTCAACTAAATAATAAGATTTTAAGAAACTTTTCAATTAATTATGTTCCAATTTCAGATTTTTTTCATTTATTTTGATATTGCTTAGTTGAAGAGGATGCGAAAAAGTATGTACGTTATAATACATAGTTCTCGATTATTAATGAATGAAATAATATTTATTAAAAAAAAAACACTTTCTTTTGGCAAAAAATCCTTCACGCTTAGGGACTCGGTAGTGGATTCAAGATTAGAGGTGTTTTTCTTATAGTTAATTTATCTTGTTCCCTTAATTTAGCGACTAACATCAAACAGTATATTTGTTTTAATATTCTGGTTGATTGGGGGAGGCTTTTTAGTGAGTATATTGCTGATATCTCTTTTTTTCAATAAGACAACACCAAAATTCATTTAACTGGAAGAATAGGCGTGGCGAAAAAATTCCGTTATAGTCACTATACTTGCATAGCAAAGGTATTGCTGCTAAAAAAAAAACAAACATTATTCCGATAATTAAATCAAAATGTATGGTATTTAAATCGTTCATGTTGTAATTTTTCCAATCATTATTGTAACGGTTTGCGAGAAATTCTGGTTTTCGAAATTGAAATACTTACACATTTAGTAAAAATACAAAACCAAGAAGTAAATTTTACCAGTTAAATGGTTTCTATGCCGTGCATGGAGGTATCATGATAAAATTTACCAAAATATCATTTATTTGATCGCTTATTTGGTAATTTTAATCTTTTGATGTCTATGCCTTTTACCAAATAGAACAGTAATTGTCCATTTACATTTCTATGGTTTATTTAAATCGACAGTTTATTTTAATGGTAGATAGAACTTACGTAACGGCCAATTATTTATTTTCTTAATATATTTCTTGACTATAAAATAGGGAAAATAAGCCTAAATGAAGCTTCCAGATGTCTTAAAAACATTACTCTCGGACAGATCAAGCTATAGTAATTGTTTTATGCATATTCTATGGAGAATTTATTTAATTTTTCATTTTTATATGTGAGTTTCATTATAATTACAAATAATGACTTAAATATAACTTGACATATAGCGCAAATTTGAGTAAGATAACGAGAATATTCATCAATTTAGCTGTTCGATTTCTACTTCCATGATTTAGAGCTGTTAGCAAAACTGCAATTCCGTACCAAGGCAAACAAAACAATCATACATTATTGAAGCTTTTGATGCCGTGGTGTATTTTTCTTCCACCAAACACTCTGAAATGTTCTATCTTTCTGATTTTTACGGCAGCTCAACGCAGTAAAAAATTTCGGATCAAATTACAGTATAAAGTATCGTGCATCATCCGCAAAATATTTTTTACCATTAAATCCATTTATACTCTAAAGTATTATATCGTAATTTTTACAGTAATATTTATTTAATTAGAGTGTTTTTACGGTATTTATTACTTTTGATACTTTTACTTTTGATGATTTCTCGAAAGTTATTTAATTTGCCTGTTGAGATTTATATTTTTGTATTAAGAATTATTGAAAAACAATATGTAAATAAATTCAAAATTTTTTTAATTCATGTAGTTTGTTCGGAAGGAAAACGAAAGTTGTAAGAAATGGAAGTAACATTAATGGATTCAAATTACGCTGTTACCATAACTACCCTTTTTTGGCCATATATTCCAGATTTTGTGTAAAATATATGGTACTAATAGTATATGTCTCAATAGTTCATGAACAAACCTGTGGATAAAAAATCTATAAGCCCATTTTTGTGCATTATTTCGATTAATTTTCCTTGTAATTGTTTGTATAAACGAAACAGACGACATTACCCAAAATGAGTCATTTTCTATTTATGATGTTTTTGGTTCGGTAAAATATCATTAGTATAACTATTACAGACGATATTACAAACATATGCTTATTATTATCAGTTTACTATTCTTAAGCTTCGCGTAATATCACCAATATAATTAATACAGAGGACATTACACAAGTATGCGCATGATTGTCTGTTCCTTGGCCAAGGTCTGTTCATTATTTTTCGAATTTGCGTATTAACGGCAGTATATAATTAATACACAAAAATATGTATTCTTGAATTATTATTATCTGATTTTGTGCATTACAGTCCGGATAACTAACTTGGGAGATAATTTAAGTTAAACTTTTAAACTTCTGCGTGCGAAACAAATATGACCGTTAGATCTAAAATTATTTTGTGTGTAACGTGTTCATTTTACGAAAACACTTTAAAATATTTCTTTTTAAATAGCATTAATGTGCAAACAAAGACTGACTGTTAAATCTAAAGTTATTTTGGGTGTAACGTGTTCATTTAACGAGCTAAGCGTTTTAAAATATTTCTTTTAGAGTAGCATCTATACAAGAAGGGGAGGGCAATCAATATCGAAAACAAATATTTATTTAAACAAAACAACGAGTTCCATATAATTAGGGTTGAACCCTACAGATTATAAAGTTATATTAGAAGACAATTAATTCAAGCTAATGCTTACTGCTTGGTGGTTCAATGCAGACTGATTACCAGCCCTCTGGTTGGGAGAATTCGAATTAATTAAAAATGCATCTACATTTCTCAACACTCCCCACCTGATAATTTTAAAGTAAAAATTATCACAAAACAATTTGCAATAGCAAAACAATATTTCTACATTATATCAAACATTATTTAAACACATTACATATTAAAACTAAAATATAAAAATAAACACTAATGAATTATAAGACACTAAAATATAATTTAAAGCATCAAATTTAAAGGAATAGTAAATTATTAAAATATCATTAGAATGCTAATTATCTTTTAAAGAGGTTCTTTAATGCTTCTCATCAACCGTTCATAAAATCCTCCCCACCCTGGGGCAAGCTCAACAATAAATTTCAATGCAATGCCCTCAGAGGAAATGAAATTTTGAAATTCTTCTCCTCTAATAATAGCAAAGAAGTACCTTATATCTATTGAAGCAGCTTTAAAAGTTGCTGCGTAATCAGAATAAATAGTTTTACAGTTATTTCTTCTTGACATGAAACGGCGTAAAGCTAAGATAAATTTATTCGTAGACAAATCGGAAATCAGTTCTAAATGTACAGCCCGTGTGACTGCACAAGTAAACACAGTAATATAAGATTTCAAAACTTCATCTTTATGTTTTACGTAAATAGGCCCAGCAAAATCAACTCCAACCACTGAGAAAGGTGGAGACTCTTGAAATTCTATCTTTAGGCAGCTCTCCAGTACGCTGATTGGCTGGTTTCGCAAAGTGTTTTCTGTAAATCACGCATCTTCCAATTATTCTTTTCACAAGTTGTCTGGCTTGTGGAATCCAATAACTTTTTCTAATCTGCGAAAGAGTGACATTAACTCCCCTATGAAGCAACCTTTTATGTTTTTCAGTGATCAAAAGCTCGGAAAATTTCGAATTCTTGGGTAGAAGTATAGGATTAACTGCTTCAGGATCCACTTCAGATTGAAACAGTCTACTCCAAATTCTTAATATCTGTTTTTCATCTAGGTATGGACGAAGACAAATTATGCTGGAGTTATTTTTTATATCTTCCTTCTTCATCAAGGTTTTAATTTCATCTTGATAATAGTTATTTTGCACCTCCTTTAGTAAAATAACTTCGGCTTCTTTTAATTCTTCAGTAGTTAATGGAACTTTCAGTTTGTCATAACTTCGACAGTTGTGGATAAACCGTTTTGACCAAGCCATAATTCTTTTCACCTTTAATAAAGAACTGTAATTTTCTAAAATCAGAAAAGTCTCTTTAGAGTCTGTGACATCAAGTCACAAGTTTAATTTAATTTTGGTATAATTTCGTTAATTCATGATAGAAATCCTTATTTGCTGATCTAATTCTTCTCGCCCCTTAATCTGTAGTGTAATGGGGACTTTCTCCCTCTGACTTTACGTTCACATTCCTTTAGCCCTGCCCTTTTCTTTTTCTTAGAAAGACACCTGTTTGCCGGTATCTTTGACGTCAGCGTGTCTCACAAAATCTGAGATGTGTTCCTTAACCGTAACGCTGGTAAAATAATTGTGAAAACATCTCAACTTTCTGAAAATAAGTAATTTAACTTTAAGCAAGAGGATAAATATCGGAGCGCAAGGGACGCTTGTGGCATTCAAAAAATCGTTTCATGTAGCTCTCCGCTAAACAGAGTTTCACTTTTCATTTTTTCTCCCTCCTTCCCCCTGAGGTCGGAACATGGCGTTAACACCGCCATTGCTGATGGTCGTGGCTGCATTCGCATTTTAAGTGTAAAAAACTTGTATTTTTCTTCAAGAAAACCATCTACCATTCTCAGCATGTTTTGGTGAATGATCACCGCGCAATGATTTCCTCAAAATGACAGTGGTTGCAGCTTCCCTTTGTGTCAAATGATGAAATTCATCGGAGTTTGTGTTGGTGTGGCGTTATATCGGCTGTCATGGTTTTCGCTGGTAAATATTTGCCGAAGATGAAGTTATCCTGCGTTGATTGCGCTTTTCTTGGGCTTGCGGACTCGTTCTGGCAGAACGAAGACCTCTAAAATAAAGAAACTTCCAGCCTCTCCTATTCCAGTACCTTCTCCATACGCTTACTGTGTTGTCGTCCTGATGCTAAATCAAGTTATAATAAAATAAATATGAATTTTCCACTTCATCTGAACTCTGGACTTGTTCTTTAAATTTTTACTCTTTTGTGGACAATATATGGATTGTTTTCCTTTTTAGTACAGCTATCTGGACCAAGCCATAGTATGATTTATTTACTTCAGTTTTTTTCGGGTTAATTCAATGCTTTAAAATGTACTGCCACTAAACCTATTTATCATGTGCCTTCCTGTTTTTTTTGTATAATTGTCTTAAGTAATCTCTTCCGTTAGTATTCATTTATTAATACCCAGCAGTTACCGGAACAGAATCTGCGAGGCAACTGTGTTGAGAAATAACGCTTTTTCTAAGTTCTAAATCAACTGAATGCTGATGATTAATTTCAGTATTTTCTTGAGGCCACTTACTTTCATCCTCTATGAGCCAAGATGGCCCGAATTTCCATAAGTTATCATCAACAAGGCTTTTTAGTGATTCTCCTCGAGTTAATTTATCAGCAGGATTTGAACTTCCTGAACAGTGTTGCCAAAGTTTAGGATCTGTCAGAGTTTGAATTTCAGACACTCTGTTTTGCACGAAGGGTTTCAAAGAGTTGTTATTATTTATCCAAAAATATGTAATTTGTGAATCTGTCCACAAATAAAATTGTTGGCAAATGTCACTAAACAATTTGTGTAAATAATCATAGATTCTAGCACCAATAACCGCCGACATAAGCTCTAAGCGGGGCAATGTTAAAGTCTTGATTAGTGCTACCCTTCTTTTGGACATAATGAATAAGGTCTTAACTTCGTTCGAAATATTTGCATATCTGAAATACGCTACAGCACCATAGGCCTTTGTGCTGGCATCAGTAAAAATATGAACGGCAATTTCTTTCTTATTATCACAGTGTTCAAAATATTTCCGTCCCATAAAAATGTTCTTTAAATAAGGTACTTCAGAAATCCAATTGTTTAAGTCTGTTACAATATCTGGAGGCAGAGGGTCATCCCAATCGAGTCCAGCCTTCCAAATGTTTTGCAGCAAAATTTTCATTTTAATAACAAAGGGAGAAATTAAACCGATAGGATCATAAATTTGAGCAGCAAATTTAAAACAGTACGCTTGGTGCACTGAATTGACTCAGATGATGACTGCTCTAAATTTTTATATTCAATCAACAGTACATCACTTTCTGTATCCTATCGAAGACCTAACACCTTTGCATGTGCAATTGATTCATTAATGGCAATACCATTTTGAATCCATAATTTCTTTAATTTGTTTGAATTAGAATTAAGTTTCCGTAAATTCATACTCGCGGATTGCAAAATATTTACAGCATCAGATGACAGTCGATATGCATCATTAACTGTATCAGCTCCCCAGTACAGATCGTCCACGTATAACGAAGAATTTAACATTTTAACGCAATCGGGTTTGTCATTAGCATATTTTTTAATGTGGTACTTTATTATTGCCTTTAAAATGAAAGGGGAAGTGGTAACTCTGAACGGTAACCTTTTCATTTTCTTAATTTTCAAACCTTCGCAATTATCATAATCAATCCAAAGAAATTTAAAATATTTGCGCTTATTTTCATCTATCTCTATCATTAAAAACGCCTTCTCAATATCACCCGAAAATGCAGTTTCATGCCTTCAAAAATTAAGTATAACATCCAAAATATTCAGGTTCAAATTTGGACCTGACAATAACATATCATTAAGGGAATTTAAACCAATATCCTTCGAACTGGCATCGAAAACGATACGAACACGAGATGTTTCTTTATCGGGTCTTAAAACAGCTGTATGCGGCATGAAATAACCAGAATTAATGGATTTATCCTTACATTCCTCAACGATTCTATCTTTTATCCGATCCTCAATAATTTTTGCATACATGTCAAAAATATTCTTATTTTTACTTAATTTTATCATTAAATTATCAAACCGCTTTTTGGCAGTAGAGAAATTACTATCCTGATCATCGGGACTTGAATTCCAAAGTAATCCGGTTTTATAACGATTGTTTTCATATTTTAAATTGCCTTCAAATTTATCAATTGTTTCTTTATCTTTTAGAGATAAAATTTCACACTCCTTGGTGATACCTAAGGAATCGAGTGACCAGAAATTTCTTAAATCAAACATATCACCTGATTCAATTACACTTTTCATAACCGCTATGTTTTGTGACAATGTATGCTCCCGTTTATAACTACTTCCACTAATCACCCATCCAAGAACAGTTTTTATTGCACACAGGCGATTATTTATAGATATCTTTACATTTAAAAGAAATTCCCAGAATAAATCTGAACCAATTAAAAGTTCTATACTCAGCAAATTATCATTATCTTCCAAATAAGAATCAGCCATATCAATTTTATTTTTATTCATAAATTCAATTACTTTGGGGTCGGGAGGTTCAACTTTAACTCCAGTAATGCATGGTATGACAAGAGTTCTAATTTTAGTTCTAAAATTCGTATTCTTTTTGAAAATTTCAAATTCAACAACAGGATAAGCCTTTTCCGTTGCTCTTTGCATTCCAAATGAATAAACTGACAAAACTTCGTAAGCAACCGGTTTTAAATTTAAATTATTTGCAACTCGTTCAGACAAAAACGAACGCTGGCTGCCATTATCTAAAAGAATTCTTGTCAATTGAGACGAAGAATCTGATTTAACTTCAGCAGTACAAGTCTGCAAATAAACCCTTTTGGAACATTCAACTTTTTTATTATTACATTGGGAAACAGAACTAATAACTTCCTCATTAGAAATGCTTGATGGTGGAGTTTCATTAGAAACTGCAGCCAAATCAGAAGATTCATTTAACTTTTCCTCAGTGTTTTGAATTTTACTAACTTTATCCCCTTATTACCTCCTAAACGAATAGACCCATGATGACTTAATCCCTTACATTTATAACAAGGTAATTTATTTACACGACAATTCCTGCTTACATGAAACAATTTGAAACACTTGAAACAACGATTAGAATTTTTCAATAATTTTACCTTGTTTTGGGAAGACATATTACATTTGAAAGTGTCATGGGGTTCAGAGCAAAAAATGCATATTGACTGCGGCATCTGTGCATTAAGCGCAGTAGCTGAGGGTGTGCCTTTATTAAAATTTCTGTTTACATACCTATTTTGCGCGTTACGCAAATTATAGCTACCTCGATGGTTATAGTTAGTCTTTTTATCACTTAAAAACGCAACTGATTCACGACATTCTATCTCATTCTTTAAAAACAGCAATAATTCATTAACATCGGTTTCATCTTTAGATTTCCGTTTTCGTTGAAAATCTAAAACAAAATCTTCAGGCAATAATTGTAAAATTATTGGTATCAAAAGTATAACATAAGATTCAGACTGAACCATAAGATTCAGACTGAATTTCTAACTGCGATGTCTAAGTCATCGTACAATTTGCATAATGCTGTAATATTAGAGGTATGTTTAACACTCGGAAAACTAAGAATTTTATTAACAAATGAATTCAAAATTATATCTCTACGACCATATTTCTCATGTAATAATTTAATACAATTATCATAATTATCATTCGTTAAATCAAAACCTGATACAACATTACCTGCCTGGCCAGTAAGATAAGATTTCAAATAAATGAATTTTTCAATTTTAGAAAGTGATTCATTTTTATGGATAATATTTTCAAAAGAATCCCAAAAAGAATTAAAATATTTCGGATCTCCCGAAAAAGGAACAATTTGAATTTTCGGCAATTTAATACTGGAATTGTTAGTAACTACTCTTTTCTGCTCAATTATAACCGAATCATTTTTTACAGTTTCAACTGTTTGTTTATTAACTGAAACCTTTATTCCTTTACATTTTATCAATTGCTTTAATTTAGCTACATACGTCAAATATTTATCCTGATATTCTTCACTAGAAGCTAAATCTTCATCCAACAAATTAATATCAATTATATTTTCAATTTCCTTATTCAAAGCTATTAAATTTTGATTCCTTTCAAGTAACACAGTAAGATTCTCATCTAATACATTTGTTTCAACATTTTGCTCAGTAAATAATTTATCAGTTTTATTTATTAATTTAGTAAAACTACTTTTTTCACTAGACCTTTTTCTTTTAATTCTCTCTAAATAATCTGTTTCAGCCATAATGAAAGTCTAACTCAAAGTCACATCACACCCTTAGCAATATAAAAAAAAACAATAAATTTTCAATAATCAAAACCTCAAAACGAAAACGAATTCTTCAACAAAGAAAGATATAAAAACGCTTACTTTGCACATACAAAGAATTAGACTAGCTGTCTCCTTGAAGTGATCATGTATCTTCTTTAACTGTCATTTTCGATTTTGCCCTTGAAATTAAAAATAACACTTTCTTTTCTCTTGCTTTAAATTCTTCTGGTTCGTAAAATACTTCGTGGCCAAATGCACCATATACAAGAAGGGGAGGGCAATCAATATCGAAAACAAGAAAATAAATATTTATTTAAACGAAACAACGAGTTCCATATTATTAGGGTGGAACCCTACAGATTATAAAGTTATATTAGAAGACAATTAATTCAAGCCAATGCTTACTGTTTGGGGGTTCAATGTAAACTGATTATCAGCCCTCTGGTGGGGAAATTTCGAATTAATTAAATTTACATCTACATTTCTCAACAGCATCTATGTGCGAAAAAAATCTCAATGTGAAATCTAAAGAAATTTTGGTTGTAACGTGTTCATTTCACGAATTAAACGATTTAAAATATTTCATTTTAAATAGCATTTGTGGGGATTTAATCTTAGACTATGCCAACCTTCATCTATCAAAAGGTACCTCAGGATAGAATCAAGTTAACATGTCTTATTTACTAGTGATTCGGTATTTAATATTTATAGTGGTAGATACGTCACATATTTCTGTGCAAACAAAAGATGACTGTTAAATCTAAAGTTATTTAGGGTGTAACGTGTTCATTTCACCGTTTTAAAATATTTCTTTTTAAATAGCATCTATGTGCGAAAAATAATCATACCTTTAAATCTGAAGTTATTTTGAATGTAACGTGTTCATTTTACGAACTAAACTCTTTAAAATATTTAGAAATGAATAAATTGGCATTAATTTTATATAAATTGCCTTTACAAGGAATAGAATGCAAAACATATTATAAAACCGAATTTCCTAACCCTATTGTTATTTTATGTTATCGAGAAATTTAAATACCAAATTTCATTAGTTTGATAGAATTTTTCCTTCAAAACTTTCCAACTTAATAATATGCAAATAACACCATCTATACATGAATTTCTCGCTCGGATTACTTCTTCAATTGACCTTTATACTTCCACACATTTTATGGACGCTTCAAAGTCTTCAGCAAGATTAATTTCGCCTCTCAACTCGACGGAAGCGTATGACAAGAAATAGTGAAAATGCAATAGACTGAAAATTACTGAAATACTTTTAAGGTAACGATAGGGAAACTTGTTTTTCCAGTTTTTCAGGAATGGAACGAGCGAATGAAATAGCATCAAAAGGCGTGGATGGAGGTTGTAATTTAAAAATGATGAATGAGAAGAGGCATTAAGAGGGAAATTTCTTCCCTAAAGTTTGGCGTTACATACTTTTCTCAAAATTTAATGTAGTTTGTGGAGCAGATGAGATGATAAGAAATTGTTGAAAATGTTCAGGAAGGAAGAGGACATAAAAGACAAAATTTTCCGCAGCATGTTTCACTGCTTGTGTTCCTCAAAACTTTTGTGTGTTCTTTTTATATATTCTGTATATTTAAGCATTAAAGCATTTTATGAACTACTTTCTAAGATGAAAACAAGTATTTCATCTTATGAAAAGTATCTGAATGCATATTTGCAACTAATAAAATAAAGTCTAGTTGCAAATATGCGTTCCATAACTATTATTATATCCAATAAACCATGTCTATTGGATATAATAATAGTTATTTCCATTTTAAATTATTAAAAGAATGACAAATTTTTGGCAACACAATATTTGTAGCTACATTATTATGCACTGAGAAAAAAATTGCCCAAATTTGCATTCTTGTATAGTAAAGACAATCATATTTGAGCACATCTTTATAATTTTTAAAATGAAAACGTCAAAATCAATCGTGTCTAGTGAATATAATCTTAGTTATTTCGATTTTAAATTATTAGGAATCTATATTTTTTGACAATAAAATATTTGTAGCTATATTATCATGCACTGAGAAAAAAAATCGCCAAAATAACCATTCTTGTATAGTAAAGACAGTCATCTTTGAACATATCTTTATAATTTTTAAAATAAAAACTTCAAAATCTATCGTGTCTAGTGAATATAATCTTAGTTATTTCGATTTTCAATTATTAGGAATCTTTATATTTTTTGACAATAAAATATTTGTAGCTACATTATCATGCACTGAGAAAAAAAATCGCCAAAATAACCATTCTTGTATAGTAAAGACAATCATCTTTGAACATATCTTTATAATTTTTAAAATAAAAACTTCAAAATCAATCGCGTCTAGTGAATATAATCTTAATTACTTCAATTTTAAATTGTTAGGAATCTTTATATTATTTGACAATAAAAAATTTGTAGCTACATTATCATGCACTGAAAAAAAATCATCAAAATTACCATTCTTGTAAAGACAATCATATATGAACACATCTTTATAATTTTTAAAATAAAAACATCAAAATCAATCGTGTCTAGTGAATATAATCTTAATTATTTCAATTTTAAATTATCAAGAATCTTTATATTTTTTTATATTATTTCAATTTTATTATTTCAATTTTAAATTTTTTAAATTTTATTATTTCAATAATCTTTATATTATTTCAATTTTAAATTATCAAGAATCTTTATATTTTTTGACAATGAAATATATGTAACCATATTATCATGCGCTGAGAAAAACAATTTGTCGAAATTACTATTTTTATTATATTAATATTTAAACTTATATTTATAATTATTAAAATAAAAACATCAAATTATGTCTAGTGAACATAATCCTAGTCATTTTCATTTTAAATGATCAAGAATACTTACATTTTTGACAGTAAAATATTTGTATATTATCATACACTGAGAAAAAAAATATGGCTAAGTAATCATTATAATAAAGACAGTTCTGGTTAAAAAAAAAAGACTAATTTTGGTCGATTCACTAAAATTGACGGCTATTAAATAATTTAATTTGTATTTTTTTTGTTCGGTATGGTAATAGTTTATCAGAAATTTTAGTTTTCAAAAATATAGTTCCTCTTATCATAGAGATATAGTAAAAACACGGAACTGAAAAGATAATTTAGCAGAAAAAATGCTTCGCACACCATGATCTGAAGAATTACTATAAAATTATCAAATTCTTCTCTGGAATTACCATTCAGTTTACCAATTGTTTGGCAGTTTCATTTTATATTTGGCGTTTTGGTGCTTCCATAGAGTCTAAGCTTTGGCAGTACATTTTCTCTATGAAAACGTCAAATTGCACCTAATTTCGATTATTTCCATTTTTATATTATCAGAAACTTGCACATTTATGGCAATAAAACATTTTTAGCTATATCCTTGTATTACTATAATAAAATATATGCATTTTTTTAATAGCAATTCTTGCTTAACTACTTATTGATTATTTTTGAATTATTCAGCCCTTATTAAGTGATTGTCATTTTTCAAAATACGACCGAAATCTTTAAGGTTTACTTTACCTGAAAAATTAGACATTCTATTGCATTTTAAAGTTTCCAGCCGGCTTGAAAAAATTCATTAGTCTATCTGCATTAATCATGATCTCTCTATAGATAAGTTATGGAAGAATATTTCAAAAATATCAGTTACCTTTTCAACGAAACCTAAACTTTAAAATGCTTTTCTAATTGAGGATTTCTATAGCTATAGAAATTTTGAATCCTCTGTGGCCTATTTTATAAAGGAAATAATTTTGATGTAACCATTTTCACATTTCAGTCAAAGTGATATGTTTGTTTTATATTTTTCGACATTTTAAAACATGATAAATTATAACTTGCAGATGAAGTATGGATACAAAGCAGCTAAATAATTTTTCATTCTTCTCTTAATGAACCAAAAATGTTTTGATCCAAAACCTTTATTTCTCAAAACGTTAAGTAAATATAGAAAATATATGTATTAAGGTAACTGACTAGTTTTCTTAATGTCGATTTTGAAAAAATGTATTGTTTCAATTTTTTTTTAAATAGGAAATAAAACTGTAGATTTTTCTTTTTCAAAAATCATTTGTTTTTTGCTTCGACGACAAATAGAACAGAAGTTATGATGTTTCATAAAACATCTATTTTAGTTTTAAAATAAACTGTATTTTTTGTTGTTGATATTTTTCTCAA